CTTCCGAGGCAGAGGAGGGTTTAGAGGGAGAGGTAGGGGACCGTTCAGAACTGGGGAGAGAGGAGAGAGAGGAAGAGCTCAAGATATGGAGGATGGATATGCAGCAGGGCTTTATTTAGGTGACAATGCAGATGGTGAGAAGCTAGCAAAGAGGATTGGAACAGAAAATATGAACCAACTGGTTGAAGGGTTTGAAGAGATGAGTGGTAGAACGCTGCCTTCGCCACTGGAAGAAGAGTATTTAGATGGGATGCATACTAATTATATGGTGAGCACTTCCTGTATCTTTTTTTGTCCCTGATTTTGAGGATTAGCTTTCAACTGTTTGGTATGATTGAAAAATAAACTGTTTATGGTGCTGGTGAAAGGGTGAGAAATTTAATAGTGTTTTTGGTTGAATTAATGGAAATCAGATTTTGTTTCAATTTATCTCGCAAAATGTAGAGATTGGAGTTGGACTAATGCTCAGTTTTGATTGTTATGGCAGATAGAGTGTGAGCCAGAGTACTTGATGGGGGACTTTGAAAGTAACCCGGATATTGATGAGAAGCCACCTATTCCTCTTCGGGATGTACTCGAGATGACGAAACCTTTCTTAATGGCGTATGAAAACATTCAAAGCCACGAAGAGTGGGAGGTATTCTCTTTCTGCTAGTTCAAAGTTTCCATGTTTCAATTCTTATGCTTTTGGTTTTTTGCTCTTATTGTTAATTTGTGTTTGCCTTTTTAGTCGAGTGCATGAGTTCTTTTTTGTGACTTTTGAGCGTCGATGAGAACATCCACTATACTTTGTTTACAAAAAAGTTTTGGCTGCTTTTTTTCTGTATCATGCTATTGTTAGATGTTATATGCAATAGTGTTATATTTATCTGTTAGAGATGCAGAAGTGTGACGAAGTATGTAGATTATTTATATTATATTCTTCTATTCCATTGCTTTTGTCCTTGGTATTTATTTCTTCACAGGAGGTATTAAGCTGAGGTTTTTGAGATTGTATCAGAAAGTTTGCTTAGGGTATATAGGGAGGACATATGTTAGAGACAAAAGGCTATGGGTGGGTTAGATATGGTGACAAGAATTGCAAGCTTTAAAAGAAATAAGTGTTTCTGAGTCTCTTGCAGGGGAAAAAGGTGAAATGTTGTTGAGTCTCTTCACCTTCCTTCACTCCCCATCATCGTTTTCAAGGTGCACTTAGGTGACCGCCTATGACAAGGGGCGATACGAGGTGCATGCCCATCGCATGAGTGATATCCTAAACGAGCACCTTCAATATCTTAGAGATGGCAATTATAATACATTATTTTTCCATTGAATTGCGAGCTTTAAAAGAAATAAGAGCGTTGTTGAGTCTCTTATGATGGGACGAAGGTGGATTGTGGTGGGGAATAAAGTTTGGTCGATAGCAAGGTTTCATGCTTCTCTCCATGTGCCGAGAATTACTGTAAAGTTGTAACCTTGGCTGGTTAGCTATGGTCATTACTCATTTATTTTTGGGGTTTTGTGGCACTAATATTTATGCCTTTTTAATCAATATCTTTTATGTTGTTAATTATGCTCGGCTTTTTCTTTGGTATGCTTATCATTAAATTGAGTATAAATTTAGTAAATCTTTGATAAATTGGTGTTTAGTTCATCATACTTTGCTTTGATTAGATGTTGGTCTACATTCATTTGATTGTGAATGTTTATCTGGTGGTTAGGATATTTGGTATAGGTTGTACATGTTGGATTTCTTGTAATAATTATAAGATAATGTGAAGGGGGGAAGATCCGTCTTATATATACACTTGCTGCTGCTTTTATTTTGATTATTTTCGAAATACGTTGTCTTTTCCTTGGTATTTTAGAGCTAGCGGATCGTACACGTGAAGTACTATACACTTGACAACGTTTTCTTTTTAGTAAGTGCATTAACTGTCTTGGTGAGACAACACAGATCCATAATTTGAAGTTTCAGTTTAGCTTTTAAAACTCCAATATTATGTCCTTTTTATTTTCAACTAAAAAGAATATTACAATACATATGGAGTGAGGAATTTTAACCTACGATCTTTTAGAGAAAGTAGAGATACCTTAACCACTGAGCTAAGCTTATGTTTGTAAAAGTAGGTCCTTTGTTGATTGATGATCATAATGTATGATCAGTAAGTGCAGCCTATCCTCAACAATTTAGTTGTTTGGCATTGAGCTCATTAAATTTTGAATCTCAACCTGAAAAAATAATAAATGATTTTTTAGATTTTTTCAGCCTCCTGTATTGTTATGTATAGATCTTTTTGTATTATTATTTTTTATTAGTACCAACTGGAGAAGTTTTTTATCCTCAGCTTGGGTTGGGAGGATAACTTGAAAGTATGATGCACTCCTTATATTGGTGGTTCTTCTTCTGACCTTTTCTTTTGGCTGTACAAGGAAATCGTAGAAGAAATCATGCAGCAGAGAGTTCCATTGCTAAAGGAGATAGTAGACTATTACAGTGGACCGGATAGAGTAACTGCAAAGCAACAGCAAGAGGAACTAGAAAGAGTTGCAAAAACACTTCCACAAAGTGCGCCTAATTCCATAAAGCAGTTTACCAATCGTGCAGTTCTTTCTCTGCAGGTTAGTGAAGCCACCTTAATAGAAGACTTGTTATTTATCTTTTGAATTATTATTATTATTATTATTATTTTAAAAGAAAAAATGCTAAGCTGGAAGCATAAATTTGAACCCACTATGTCAGGCATACTATATTCCTAAGTTTGTTGTTTTTGGGAATGCAAGAATATAAGAATACTATATTTGTGTAGTTATCGTTTTCCTTGTACATAAGTTTTAGATGAGATAACCGACTTTTGAGAAGAAATGAAAGAATAAACAAGAAAATATAAAAAGGAAAGTCCAAGACTGAAGGAGCAGAGAACAAAAACCAAAAAGCCAACTAATAACACAATTACGAAAAAGGCTCTAGTACAAAATATGATATTCTAAAATTAATTGTAATATCAATACATATATATAATGGATATATTTTTTGAGTAATAGTAACAATAAAAATAATATTTATACCATACACAATTTAAGTTTACAATCAAGTATATAGTGTATGTTCATTGATTTAGTATTTATAGTATTGAATAGTGTTCCATAACATTTTATTATTTGTACGTTGAAGTTATTGCTGGTAGTTTAATTTTTATGGTTGGAATTGTGTAATTGCGTTCTTACTTGGTGGGAATGCTGCAAACTCACTTACATTGATAGGAATAAATTGTGGGAATGTCATATTTTAGAGGAATTTTTTATTCCTGCAGAATGAAATAATGGTGATGCTATTCTATCCTTTTTTGTTCTTCCCTTTGGTTTGATCGTTTCTTATCAATATGAAACCCTGGTGGAATGTTTAAATTCAGGTAATTTGAATGCCTTTTAAATTACTTTCTTTCCACTGAGAAATGTAAAATTCTTTGAGGAAAAAGCATTGGCTAAGGAATAAGAATGATGGGATTCGGAAACCAATGTAAAAATATAAGAAGGTAACGACCTTAAATGCAGATATAGTGGAACCAGAAAAGATAAAGAACTGCTATCTGGTTTTGCTGCAATATTAACATCTTGAATAGATCTAAATGAGCTGCTTTGTTGATCTGTTTGTGGAGCCAATGTCATTTTACATAACTGTTCCATAGATTCTTAAATTAGGCAGCTTAATTTAACATTAAACCCAAAATGTTGAATCTTCAATTCCATTTTTGGTTTTAGAGGCTTAAATTGACATCTCCTTTCCATGTAATTTGTGAGTCATACATTAGGCTTTCACATTCAAAATGAAGAAAATGTCAAATGTGATGCTAATTTGCTTCATTCTAATTTGCAAAATCCTTGCATTTGCAGAGCAACCCAGGATGGGGATTTGACAGGAAATGCCAGTTCATGGACAAGCTTGTGAGGGAGTTCTCCCAGCAATACAAGTAGGTTACTGAAGTTCCATCTTATTGACCATTAAGCGTTATAAACTACACTCAACCAAAATGAAGCTACACCTTTTTCTTTTTAGTTTTGGTTTCTAATTTTAGCTCATGAGATATTAGAAGTTCTACACTTTTCTTTCTGGTGTGTCAGAAGGATGGTTTTCTTTTTGTAGTCTAATGTTGCTGCAAGTTGTATTACTGAATTGTTGAAATATTGCTTCATATTTTGGGGAGCAATAATGGCAGTGTCTTATCAACATGCTGCACTGAGAAATTTTCCCTTTTATGTTTATACAATCCCATCTCTTTGCTATTCTTGCACTCTCCTATTCTTATTATTAATAAGGCAGGCACTGCTAAAACTCATTTTAGTTCTTTTTTGCTGAGTTTGAGCAGTAAAGCATGTAGAGTTTCAAATGAATGCTCAAAGGCGAGTTGGTTTTATTTGAACTTTGGACGAAATCGAGTCAAATAGAAAACGACCGAAAAAATTGGTTTAAATTGTATTTCGACTTGCTTGTTCTGTTAAACTTTTGTTTTTGGCTCACTTGTACTTGTCTTATCAAATTGATTTAGGATGCGTTTGGGAGTGATGATAGAATAAGTAATTTTGAGAAAAGAGATTTAAGTATAATTGATTTTCTAAAATTATTGTTCAAGTGATATCTTAAAAATCAATTTAAAGTGATTTTAAACTTTTTTATAATCAATTTTCTAATTTGCCAAACATAATAAATGGGAAGGGAAGTTTTTGACAATGCTCGTATTGAAGCACAAATGTTAGGATACGGGAGAAGAGACTCCTTAGAATAAAAAAAGTGAATGATTTGGGAGGTAATTGTAAATTACAAAGTTCAAGATGGATATTATTTTCACCAATTAGGGATTGAATTTGTAATTTAACTTAAATCTTTTTAAAATTTGAAAAAATAAAATTAAATTAAAGCTTTGGTTCATTTTTTTATCCTGTTCTGGTTTGTCATGGTACTTTTTAAAAAGGATTATTTTGATCTCTTTACAAAATTTACATCACAAAATTTTCACATACATAAATTTTTTAATATAAAATAATGATTACATTTCAAGAAATATACAATAAATTTTCACATACATAAATTTTTAATATAAAATAATGAAATATAAAATAATGATTACATTTCAAGAAATATACAATGAAACAAAACATTCAGAAAAAGGGAAAAAAAACCATAATTCATTTGGTTGAACTATCCTAGGAGTTAAAGAAAAAAGTCATTCATGAAAATGAAATAAAAATATAATGACAGATTTCATATTATCCAAATTTCCAAATGTAATACTACAATATATATTTTTAAGAAGTAGAAAAATATTTTTAAAAAACATTTGCGTGTTTCTTTTAGGAAAAAAAATAAGAGAAAAACAAGTAAAAGAAAGATTCTTTTAATTTAATTAAATAAATAAAAATGATTCTGAGGGATAATAACAGTCCCAACTGAAAGTCCAGAAAGCAAACCTAAGAAGAAGCGTTTGGCGGAAATCTCGATCGAAGAATTAGACAAAAATCGCAGCTTGAATCCAATACATACGCCAATTTCCTCCGATAGTGAATTGCTTGTTGTTTGGTAGCTCGGCCACCCGATTCCGATCCATTATGGCCTCTAATGGTGCAATTCCGGTGGGTGTCTCTTCGTTTTTGCGGTGTATGATGTTTTTGTGCTCAACATGTTTTGAATTTGTGATGCTTGTCGGAGCAGAGAGCGGAAGATGCCGGGAACAGCTTGGAGAAGATCAAGCGGCAGCTGACCTCTGGGTCTGGTCGGAATTTGTTGCAGGGTCCCCTTCTCAAGCGATCTGAAACAGTACGATCATTAATTTAACAATTGCGGCTCGCTTTCTCTCTTGTGTTTTGAATGGGTGTTTACTACTGAAATTGGCAGGGTTTGGCGCTTTCATTTGAATCTTTCTCGTCGAATTTTTGGTCTCTAAATTGGGGGCAAATTGCTCATGGGGTTTCTGTTTGGCAAAGCGGGATAGTTTTAGGTATTCTATTGATTTGGGAGAAATTTTCTTTATTTCTTTCTTTTTCTTGCCACCCCCTCCCCTCCCTGGGTGGTATACTTAGTTTCCGCTTGTCATGATTAAGGTAGGGCAACTTTCGCTGATAACTCGTTTGACATTGATTTTCCATTTGAAAAGGGTTCAAATTTTCCCATGAGGCCGGTCTTTAATTGGGGAAATTACACTGGTTTTAGTGATGTTTTGGGACTTGATTAATTAGGGTTCATTGAACTCATCAAGAACTTAAGATGACGGTCAACAAGAAATGTGAGAAATACCGATGTTCATGCTTTAGCTGTCTACAAATGTGTGATTTTGAATATGGCTGTTGATGTGCTAATTTTCTCAAGACTGTTTTACGGTGCGCCAATGTAGAATCATGCTCACATTTAATGATCAGTCCTATCCGCATCTTTTGGTCTGAGACTGCATTTCAATAGCAATGAGCTCTTCACCCTTGCTAATATGGTGTTCTCTGTTTCGATGTTTACAGTTGAGGAAATGGAATGAGCGATGGGTTATTTTGGACCCAACGACAGGGAAAATGGAATACAAGTAACTAGATTTCCAATATTTACACTTCTTTTTCTCTCCTGCTTGGTTTGAGTATAGTATCACATTGGCAATAACTCTTTTACTTTTTCTTTCTTTTGCAACTTTCTGCTATAGAATTAGGAGAAATGAGGCAACTATCAAAGGAACCATTATATTTGATGCAAATAGCAATATTACTGTTTCTCCTGTGAATTTCCAGTAAGTCTGATTTCTAAAGCTAATTTATAATTCTCATCTAGTACTTTTCTCTAGTCATTATGGCTTTGATTGTTACTAATTTATCTTTTCTTTTCTTCAAAATTCTTTTATTTTAGTGGGCTACCAAAGTATGATGGTTGCTGTGTCTGTATCCTCATTATTTTCCTACTTTATTGCATTGTTAATTGGTAGAAAAAGTTTACTCAAATGTTAGTCTTGTCGATCCAAATGAAAATGTTATATCTGAACTGATCTACTGAAATGTTAAAATTTCTTAACCATACCTTCAGATATTGGTACCCCCCAGAAGCAAGATTACTTTCTCTGTGCAGAGACTCCTGGTGCAGCTAGAGCTTGGGTGTCTACTTTGCAGTAAGTCATTCAAACACGCGTCCTATCAGTGACATTCTTTGTGCAATATCATAATGAACCCACGCAAGACCCAATTATTTCCATTCCTTTACATGCACAATGATTTGTCACGTCTGTAAGCTCCTACATACATGAAGTGACATTTTCTAAACCATTATTGGAGTATATGCTTTGTTGCAGAAAAAGAGGGTAAGTTATCCTCTTGAAACAAACTAATAACTACAATACCAATTATCATTTATTGCATATAGAATAGCAAACTAATTGATGTATAACCTGCAAATGGCCACAATCTTGATTAGGTAAAAACCAATTTCTTTTTGGCCAACCGAAATGTTTTTATTTTTAATATGAAACAATATATTCCCTAATAAAAACACAGAATGGGAAGATGAGAAATCTCCCTGCCATCAAGGAGCTTTGAAAAATGCATCCCAATTGGCGAAAGTAAATCAAGGTCTATAACTTCAAGAGTTATTGGAAAGAATATACCAACTAGAAGCAAGAAGCCATTTTGATAAGAAGCAAGACGCCATTTAATATCCCAGAAATCACATAAACTTCTAGGCTTGTCATCAAAGATTCTTCTATTTCTTTCCCTCTAAACCTCTTGTAAAAGAGTTTTAATATCTGTACAACAGTCTGGTTTCAGTTTTCAGAAAACACTATTTCAACCCAAAGACTGTTCTTAACATTGTTTGATGACTCCCCATGATTGGCTTATTTTCTATGACATAACGATTCACCTTATTTAAGGAAACAAATTGATAATTTTTCCCCTATTTTCATTAGATTCATAGTATGCCTGACAATATGTCTTAATATTATTGTTTTGACTTTCTCCAATCAGTGCAACCCAGTTGGTTCTTAAGGCCCATAAAGAGGCTGTAAATTCCTTGAGTGGCAATGGCTCTGCAAAATTGGGAACAGTGGCCACAGTAGTTGCTGCTGCCAATTCAATTGCCCAGGAGAGTTCCAAAGAAATTGAAAAAGCAATGCAGATTTCTTTAAGAAATACTCTGGGAATTGTGGCAAATAAAATAACTGATGGCCCAATGGATGATTTAGCAATTATGAAGGTAAAGCATATGTGACCATATTTGGAATGCATGTCTGATATTTTCCTCCATACTGAGCTGCTTCTCCACGTTAGTTTAGCTCAAGGTGTGGAATGTTTCATTTCTTCTGGAAGAAGTTTGCCTCTTATTCCAGCCTATGTGCAAATTAGAAATATAAAAACTGGAGTAAGATTGATGCATTATGCTCCTCTGACACGATGAATTCAGTTCTAAATCTATTTTTTGCACTTTATTATTCTGCTATTTGCCATTGATAGTAGGTCAATATGTGGTCCCATGCCAAATTCTGGAGGTTGATGGAACCTCCATATAATATAGGTTTTTATCTGTATAAGTTACGAAGTGCTGGGTTTATCACAATGGTTGGAATGTGTTACAATCAACCCCTTTCTATATTCATTTTATTCTTAATCATTTCTACTCTGTTTTAGTGGATGATTTTAAAATTTGTTGATAATTTATTTAGGTTATTGGTCCTTTCTAGATAAAGGTATGACTCAGGTGTAACCACCTGGAATATATCCTTGTTTTGGATCATGTTGGTTGTGCAAGAATCATAATCCTTGTATGAGGTTCGATTTGCTTGAGATGTGATGAACTATGAATATAGTAAGCTGTAAGCCTTTCTGGCATTTCATTCACCTATATATTGTTCTCAGTGTTCATCTCCATTCTTATACAGGAGACACTACGAGTTAAGGATGAGGAACTACAGAATTTGGCTCGCGATCTTCGTGCACGAGATTCAACAATAAATGATATAGCTGAAAAATTGTCTGAGACTGCTGAAGCAGCTGAGGCTGCCGCTTCTGCAGCCCATATGATGGATAAACAAAGGAAAATTGTTTGTGCAGAAATCCAACGTATAAAAGAAGATTCAGAGAAGCAACTGGATGCATCCATGTTGAAGGTATTGCCTTCTTTATTATGCAACACTTAATTAGAATTTGAGGATGGGCCTATGGCCTACCAATCATTATGGCTTCCTTGATATGTATTTTATTTCTATTAACTGTTATGTTTATGATTTTCACTTCCACTTCCAGATTAAAGAATCTGAAGCAAGATTAACTGATATGAGTAGAGAAAGAGATCAGTTGATAAAACAAAGAGATGCTGCTAATCAGGAAGCACATATGTGGCGGTCTGAGCTTGCAAAAGCTAGAGAGCAGGTTGTGATTCTAGAAGGCGCTGTCGTGAGAGCGGAGGAAAAAGTCAGGGTTGCAGAGACAGATGCTGAAGCAAGAATAAAGGAGGCTAAACAGAAAGAGGTAGCTGCTTTGCAGGAGAAGCAGGAGCTTATGGCATACATAAATAGGTTACAAGCACAAATTCAGAGGTTTATCATCTTTCCCATTTTAGAGTTTCCTACTTAGACGTAGCAGTGTTACTCTTTTTCTCTCTCTTAAAGCAACAAGCTCCTCTTTCACTGGAGTTGTTACCCTCTTGATCAATCTAGGCCTTTTTGCACATATTTTGTAGATACATTTATTTAGCCATTATTTATCTGGGTACTATTAAAAATAAGGTTGTTTACCAACAATTTCTGCTTTGTTTTTCCCCCCCTTTTTAAATCATAGCCATATTTTAAAACTTAAAAGAAAAAGAAAAAGTTTTCTGAGTCTCATAAATAAAAAAAGAAGTTTCTTAAAAGTAGATAAGAAAAACAAATAAGTTGTTAGCAAGCCACCCTATTTTTAAAAAAGACGAGACCATAAATGGATCCTCATTTGTTCTCTCAACTCCACATGGATCAATATTGTATCTTAAATTTTATCGTTGAAAATGTATCATCTTTAGGATCTGTTAACTTGATTTGAAAGGATTCATGTGATGTGACTTTTGGTGGCTACTAAAGTCAAATGTGTTATTTTCTCTGCCTCGCAGACAACATATACAAGTTTTTGAGGAGAAGATGGAGTCTTGCCCAGGTAATGGTAGTTCTCTGCTAACAAAGCACGTTGACTCATCAGACGATAACGTGGACAAAGCATGCTTGAGTGACGACTCTAGGGCAATACCAGTCTCTGGTGAGGTTAATCTACAACCGATTGGAGATGGGGAATGGAGCGATATTCAGACAACGGAATCAAGAATCGCCGACGTTAGAGAAATCGCTGCAGAAACCGAAGGAAGCAGCTTAGATATCACTGTTGTTAGCCAACCAGTCAGCAGCCATCATGAGCAAGATGTGAACCCTGCACATCAGCCTTAAACAAAGAAGAAAAAATGCATGTCAACTGTCAAGTAAACAATACACAGCACCCAGTTAAGAAAAATGCCCACTGTTTTTGCATTCTTCTGTGGGAGTAATTTTCAAATTATTTGACTGACTGATCTGATGTTGGTGATGTGGTGTACATTTCTGGATGTTAGATGCTTAAGTTTTAACAGAATGCGTCTTGTCGTGTGAGCCAATTAATCGATTATTTTTACTGTTGTGTAGAGAGCCAGGAGATGTAAAGCTAGAAAGACAACATTGATGAGTGTTTTTTTAATTGATACTTAGCTTCATTCCTGCTGTTGTTTTTACAGAATATCTTCCCCCAAGAGTACTGACTGTGATTGATGGCATCTGAACTTTTTACAGAAGCAATGTCTTTTCTTTTAAATCCTTTCTTGGATAGTTCCTAAACTAATAAAAATTAGAGTAATGTAATTAGTTTAGAGTGTGACTTGTATCAATCTAGGCCCCCTCAAGTTCTTACCCTTCTTCAGTGGGCAGGGCAAATGTTCTTCTTGCCATATTTTTTACTAGTTTTTCTCCACAAAAACAGTCTAATGTTGGTTTATGAAACCTTTCCTTCAATTTTTAGGAACTAATGAGGTTACTTGTCACAAATATGGATATTGATCGATATGTACATTTTGATGGGATACTACTGAAATAAAATCATACCTATCGAAGAATTTTAGAGATTCGAACTTATGACTTGGTTGGAGACAGATGTCAGTACTGCTAAGCTAAGCTCGTGTGGGCAATAATATTGTTGTTTTAATGGAAAAAAGAAACATGTTTGATAATCTATTTTTGTTTCTTGTTCTCTAAAATTATGAATTAAAAAAATTTATGTTATATTTTAAAAGTGAAAATGATAAAATAATATTTAAATAGAAAGATAGGGGATGTTTTGAATGCTTTCAAAATTGCTTCAATTAGGGAATGGTACAAATGGATCACGTGATTCTGCAACGTCCTCTAACTTGTTGTCCGCTCCCCTTCTTTGTTAGATAGGAAGATGCAAACTGCAAAGACCTTTCCACCACGCGAAGTTCAAACTTCACCGGTATTTACTGGAAAAAAATTGAAAACAAGAACAAAAGAAAGATTTGATTTTGTGAACAAATACTTGAATGTTTCAAAACAAGAAACAAGTACGGAAGATTAAATTGTATAAGTGTTTGTTTCCTGAACTTGCACAAAATTGAAACAATTCAAAAGATCTTACCCAAACTAAATGATGTAGGGTCAACTTCAATGTTCCATAACATTTCAAATAAAGTTTATAAGCAACGACTCCATTCATTTTCAACTACCAAAAAAGGTTTACAAGCTCAAACCCATAAAACAAGAAATTGTAGAGACTACATTTACAAAAAGGTAAACTGTGGAACATTCATTCAGTCACTTTCCTGTTCCATTGCGTTGTGGAAAATCTCTCAACTGACCTGTGATTATGACAGAGCTTCCAAAAATATGGATTACAGAAATCAATCACTTTCACTTTGGCAGTATTGAAGAATCCATTCAATTCAACTGGGGATGGAATTTTATCAGTACGATACCACTGAACTGGGTTGGATTGAAGATTGCAACCGTGAAAGTGCTGTATCATCTTCCTCATCAAAAGCTACTAGCTTTCCTTGAAAATTCTTCCTGCACATTCATGTACACAATGGGGAATTAAAAGCTCTGAAACAATTTCATAGGTTTTTAACTTCAAATTTACAAGAATCACCTTCAGACACCTTATGAAGTGCTTTTGAATCTAAAAGTGATTATTGAAAAAAAAAAAACCTTCTTTCAAAAGTCAGTCCCATCCCAAACTCACTCTAACTCACTCTAGGACTATCTGTTGAATTACTGACAAAAGTAATAACTCTAAAATCATGCCTATCGAATCATTAGAATTGAGAATATATGGGAACGATCAAACTTGAATCCAATTGCATTATATTACAATCGAAACTCAGTATTCGAGATAGATTTTCCTCGACTGAACACACCAGAATTCAAAATTCTCTCGAATATTAACTGGTTCAAGCTATTCTATTCTAATACTTTCTACTTGGAGTATCAAACATATAGCGTTGTGCAGAGACGAAAACAAAGATTGTCTTCACTTGTTTCTGGGTTATTTTGAGTTTGTTTGAGATTGCTCCACCACTTTCTTCCAAAGAACTACGGTGTTTAATTCAGTAAGTTGAGACCCGTGACTCTATAAACATTTAACACACTCAAGTTTGTTATTCTTCCATTGGTAGGTGCATCACGTCTAATGATAAATCTTATCAGTTGAAAATTCGAGTGGAAAGTAGTTGTTTAGCTCCTAGAATAAAATATAGCAAGAGAGAGTAGAGTACCTTGTAACTATGCTTTCTTCTGATAGTGCCTTCTCTAGCCTCTCCTCAAATGGAGTTGCATGCCAACTCACTTTCTGATCCTGCTAACAGGAAAACAATCTGTTAACAAACAAATTTAAAAGTTCGTACCAAATGGAAATTTTCAAAAGCAGTCGTAAAATTACCTCCTTGTACTTATTGGTCGAATTTGGGATTCCATTCCCATCCCATTCCTTAGGTGAGACTTGAGCAGGTTCATCCTCGTTCCAGTGAGCAGCAACCATCCCTATGATTGGCCTGTCCCCTGCAGTTCTTCCAACACGATTTGGCCGATATTCAGCTCCAAATTTCTTACTGCCATCATCTTGAATAGCTACTGGTTTCAACCAAGCAGACAAGCTTGCTTCCACCATCAAGTCCTCATGTGTATTTGCTTTCACATTCCTTTCTGGCATAGGTGTCATAATTTCAGGCTCTTCAAGGGATTCTCTCATTTCTCTTGAAAGTCCTTCCAGGTAAGAATCTTGTTCCTTCAGTGCCTTCAACTGAGAGGCACTTTCAACCGGGTTCATAACTGAATAAACGTACTGGGCCCTGATTCTTGCTTTTCCACGATCCAAGTTTGCAGGAAAAACAGTTCCAGGAGTTTGCATTCCATCAGATAGCTGTAGAGGGGTTGGATAAGGTGATTGCTTCGATACACTTCTATTACTATCCGATGAATCAAATTCCTTCACTTGTTCTCTTCCATTTCCAGATGAACTTCGGCTGAGAGATTCGTTTATATCACATTCAAAACGTACGGATTTACTGCGGCAGGTAGTCATCACATTATCAGGACTATTAAGAGCAGCTACCGAGGTAATAACACTTCCAGTTTCACTGCCTTCAGTGGGGTAAGCAGAGATTCTTTTAGTATTCCGTTCACTGGTAGTACAGCTGTAGAATCAACAAGTTCCATAATGTGACAGGAACCCAGTTTTGTTAGAATGATATCTAAGTCTGATCTTAAAGGTAAAAGGAAAGTTGAACTAAATTCAGCATAGGATTTCTGCAGCTATTTCAAAAAGATGAGATAGTAAATACCATACTAAATTCAGCCAGTATATCAGACAAAATTTGCACATTTTCCTATCAAAACTATACCATGTTCTTCAGTTCTTGCGGGAATAGATAGCAGAATACTCATGGATAATTTGCTAGTGCATCAAGCAATAAGATGACCATGCAAACTAACTCAAAATATATGTTGTTTCAGATATATTACAACCTGCTAGGCGTACGTTCAGCAGAACCTGACTCATTCCCCCACTCTTTCAAATTCTTGGCAGGTGTATGGGTAAAATCCAGATGTGTTTCGGTGGATGCGTTCGGAAGTGATTGGTACTTTGGAGGTTCCATGTCTCTGCCATCACGAGGGGAATCCAAAAGTTTTCTAGATGCTTTCCGAATTTCAGTTGGGGTCTCCACTATAGTCCCACAAGCCTTGAGAAATTTGGCCTGCAGATTAATGTTCACTTCAACAAGAGGACTATAATAGTACACCAAAATTGGAGATTCATTTCTTTAAGGTAGCTTATTAACATATACGATCCAAGTCAAGAGACAAGAATAAGATTTGAGGAATTGAAGAGCAGTCTGAGCATTTGCAAAAAAATAAAAAAGGTGGGAGGAAGCAGGAGTAAGGAATCTTCAGTAAACAAAGGAATTTTGAAACATAGGTTCCATTGGAAACTTGGACTCATAGTATCTATCACTTGCATTTCACCAGGTTGAATCATTGATACATTAGCAGCCATCAAAGTCAACACACACTGTAATCTGAGCCGTACACAATTTGGGAAGGGAAGGTTACATACCTGATCCTTCAACTCCTTGGTATACCCTGGAGATCCAAAAGCCTTGGAATCTGTATCCTTCCTTGGGGAATCTTCATTTTCTTTGGAAAAACAAAACAAAAACACAAAAGGGAGTAAGAATCCGCAGATTCGAATATAAGAAACAAACATGGAGGAACCAAACATCTACCTTCAGATAGGAAGAGAGATGACAACTGATTTCGAGATACCACAGGTGCCTGAAGCATGAAATGGAAAGCAATAGGTGATCAAAAACCCATTTATACCTTTCCCTGATTCCAACAGATACAAAAGGAAACTAGAAAAAGACATAAAAAAGAAGAGTAGAATCTCCTAAATTGCACATCTAGTTATATTCCAATCAAAGCAAAATCAGCTACCTTATTCTAGTAAACTATCAGAGCTACCATATAAGCCCCAACCCGCAAAATGGAAGAGGAAGAAACCCATGATACGAAAAAGCCAATAAAAGAAAAAAGCTCAAAAAGCAGAATCAGGACAGAATCTTCCCAAGAAACAGGGGAACAAAATTTCCCATTTGATTTCATTCCCTCAAATTCCTCTTGAACCAGACGAAGGATTACAAAATTTAGAAAGAGCGAAATCGAAAGATCGAAAACGCACCCCATGCTTCGAACAAGAAGGGTCAGAAACAAGATACGGTCGACGCCGATGGCGATCGTCTCTGACTTTGAAGCAATCTAAGAAGCAGCCCATGGCTCTGGAAACCGATCGATCAAGAAACCCCACCAAAGACCTGCAAAGAAACCCCAATTCACGCCGCAACTGCGAGCATATCATTGATGATCGCCACCGCCCAAAGAACGAAAAACCCCCCACCGCACCCCACCCCACCCCTGATTCCAGCACAAAACAAAACAAAAATCTCCTCTCTCCTTTTGGGTATTACTTTTCTTTCAAAATTTTCTTGTGGGGTTGTAATAAATTTTCTCCTTTTTTCGTTTTTTCGAGTTGGGATTTATGCAATCAGTGAGGAGGAGAGAGTTGTTGGGTCGTTTTTTGAAATTTGAATTCACAAAACGAGGGAAAGATGTTGGTCTCATTTCCCTTTCCTACTATTTTGCTACTCGAATTGATTTGTACTCGCTTCCAGATGCTGACACGTGGAGACAATCAGCATATTTTGGTAATAAAATAAATGTATTTGACTTGTTTTAGACAAGATATTATTGTCACAAAAGCAATTCTTTTTGAAAATTTAAAATGGTTTTGTAACGTTACCAAATAAAATTTCTTAAATTTATTTGCATTTATTTTGTGTCATTTTGACTAGATTCAATGAGAGATTATTGCTGATGAAAATTTTAAATAAATAATTACTTCGAAGAATTTAGGTTAACACCAAAGTTTTAAACGTCGATGTCTCAATTTCGTTGAAATTCGATGAAAATATTGATAAAATGTCAATGTTGATAGATATCCGTAAAAAATATTTAAATTAACAAATAAATATTTCATCATTTTTAAATAAATTTAAAAGGATTAATATTAATATTATGTGTATATTAGTGATATTTTGTTTATATTTTCATATTTTGTCGAAAATGTCGATTTACTCCTCACATTGATGTTGAACTCATGAACACGTAGAAATGTTGATGAAAATGTCGACCAAAATTTAATATCCTAATTAATACTTTGATGTAAGATGTTAAAAAATTCAACCAAAAGAGGTCTGACTTAAACCTTTATGTTGAATTTAACTATAAGGTCTCAGTTGAAAACGTTTTCATTTTTACTTGGTTTGTTTTCCATGTTTCTTTTGTGTCTCAATTTCAAAAAAAAAAGAAACATATTTTTCGAAACTATATATTTATCCATTTAAAATTTTTGTCATTTTCATATATTTTCAATGAGTTACAATGTTGAGATAGAATAAATTTAAAATATAACATGAATATTTGATTTAGAGCTAAATTTGTCTAATTGTGACATGACTCGACCTATTAACATCGATATGAAAGTTTAGATGGTAATTAATATATTAAATGATTTTCCATCAATTGACCAATTCAATTAATTATAGGACATGATATTGAAATTTTAAATTAAGTAATGAGATGGTCGCCCATTATATAAGTGGTTTTTCATGTTAATGTTTTGTTGTTGTTCCCCCTTTTCTATTATTTTATTATTTATTATTTTTTTCCTTCTTCTTCATTGTTTTGTTTTGGGTGTGATTGTAATATTTCTAAGGTATTAAAATATAATAGATTTAATTATAAGTTAAAGTTTAGTCTCTAAATTTTTAAAATTGTATACATTTAGTTTTTTTTAGATACACGTATATTTTGTCCTTATACTAAGAGCATTAAAAAGAGATAAAAAAAACTAACTCAACCCAACATAATATAAAATCATAAATTTTATTAGCATTGTTAATCTAAGATTCACTCATTCGAGCTCGCTTTTTCTATTCCTAACAAAAAAAAATAATAATAATAATTTTAAACCCAAATCCAAATGGTACGAATCAAGTTGTTTGGGATCTTGGAGTAATCAATTTCATAGCTCTACCTAACAATTATGAGGTGTGAATTTTGATTGAACCCTGATCTAGCGGATCCAACCCAATTTTTTATTGATTGGCTTGAGTTGGATTTATAACTTAACAAAGGTTGTTCGAGTTTTAGGAATCTACCACCTAAACAATTGGATTAGATCTAGAATATTACAAAACTCAATCCAACCCAACTTAGAAACGTCCTTATACATTTCAAAAAATTTTCTTAAACTGTGGTTGACATGTTTACCTATTGTTAATTCTATTAGTTTAATATTAATATGGGCATAGCTCAACTTAATTAGGGTATTAGACGAAAGTTCACGCCCTCCCTCACAAAAAAGAAATCCACTAATTTAATTATTATTGTTTTTTTTTAATTTAGATTTTACTAGTAGACTCATTGTAGATGTTGAAAATTCTCTTATGGACAAAGAATATGTTTAAAGGCTTAATAAATGCTATCACGTAGGGATTGAGTAGAGATTGGTTCACGCAAGGCAAATACATGCCACCATGTATGACGACTTAGATATATCAAACTAATATATGGTTAAACAAAGACCTATCTTAAAATTATAACGGTTTAATTTAAGCCATGTCGAGCGACTTTGTCACATGCTGAGCACGTAATGTAATATATGTTAGTCGTGTAACATCTATTGAGTAACCACTACTACAAAATATGGAATAGACTATACTAGCTTTTAGACATTCAACTACGCTTTTCAAAAAATATGTAGTCTAATATTCAAGAAATTGACGTAACCATAGTCTAAAAAATGCACGGATGTACAGACCTTGATTTTTAGCAACCATGGTTTAACAATATGTAATAGACTACGACTACGACTTTAGAACAAAGAGTAGTCTAAAATCCTACTTTAAACAATGGATATAAAAACCAATGTCTATACATATGTGTATTGATCTACTTTTGATTACGGTTGTGGTCTAAAATCTCACTTTACACTACGGTTCAAAAAAACAGTGGTCTATAAGATAGATATGAGATTATTTTTTACTACGAGTGTGGTCTAAAATCTTCTTCTTCACCGTAGTAAAAAAATCTCATGGTCTATAGGTCAAATATTAGTAGAATTTAGATCAATAGTTATTAACATTATCTTTAGCTAAGTACTAATTGAGTTGAGAATGAACCAATAATTAATCAAAATCTAACAAATATCCATAAATTTTACATTAATATCAATAGAATTCAACATGTTCGATTTTTTTTCTTCTAATTATTGTCGATATGGACATGATTTAGTGGGTAAGATATCTCTATTTTCTCTAAGAAAATGGATATACGTCTCATATGTAATATTATATTCTTTAAAAAGAATATATATCAATAATAAATTGATATTGGGCCAATTTTTTAAGATGGATTATTTTTCTTTCCCAAATGGCATTGAGATTGCATAGGAGTAGAAGTTGAAAGGCTAATGCAATATTTGGAGAGACATAAAAATTGGTAGAATGTATAACTTTTGCCTTGGCCACATGTCTTTGTACTCTCTAATTCATGAAAGATGAAAGGACCAATTTGCAAAAATTATATATGCAACGCTATATATAGATTGTTAAGTTGAACACGCTTAACTTTGAAGTTTTTTTTATTGAGTCGAAAAAAAATGGTGTCTTTGTTATATATGCAGTAACTATTAATTCTTTTAAGTTTTTTTTTTTAACCATACTTCCATGATCTCAAGATCTCTTTGATTCGAATATGGTGCCGGTTCATCTATATATCACTCATTTCTATTCGAGCGTCACAAAAAATGGTAAAAATACCAAAATATATAAAAATTAAAAATGAACAACTATATTTTATATGTTTAAAGAATCACATGATATGATATGTTATTTTAATAGAAAAAAACATTAATTAAGGTACCAATATATTTTTTAATGAATTATTTAATTATGTGTTATCTATCTTTCTTTGATCGTTTAGTATATGATATTGAATTTTTTGAAATCATCTTCCGTCGTTCTAAATAAATAAAGTATAACTAAATATTAAATAAAATTGTCAAAAACTCAATCAAATTTAATTATGATAAGATCAGAAAAGTTAAGAAATTAGGTTAGGACAAATTATATTTTTTTTAATACTTCCTTTATGTGTAGACTCGAATTTGGTAGGGTGTTATATTAAATAGGGAAGAAATAATGTTGTAATCCTAAAATTAATATTTAATTTGAAGATAACTTTAACATTTTGAATATATTCTTAATAGTTCGTGGCCAAACATGAGTATAACTCAACGTAATTGCCACCTACTCCTTCCAATCAGATCGAAAGTTCAAATTCCTATATCCCAATTTGTTATATTAAAAAAAAAAATTCCTCCCTCAGATGAGCTTAACATTTTAAAACAATCATTTTTTCCCTTAAAATTTGGCTAAAATTCCAAAAGTATTTAAAAGAAAAGTAACAAATGAAATAATGAAAATTTAACTAAACTTAATTTCTAAAAATAATAAAGACAAAATCATTATCAAATCAAACAAAATTACACACTAAAAATTAGAAAGTGAATGGGCTGGTTCCAATCGTAAGTTTTCTATACCACCCATCACCCATGTGCCTCTCGCATGCATGCATGGTGGTAGGTTGGTAAGAAATTTAATATTTACGTGTGACAAAAATATTTTACTTAAAATTCCATAAAATATTCAATCAATGAATTTTCTTAGTAAAAGTCTTAATTTTATTTTCAAATTAATACTAGACATGATTAACATGGAGAAGGGAATGAAAAAAAAAACAAATATTTAAATTAGAAAAAGAAAGAAGAAAAAAAAGTTAAATTAATGTCCTATTTTCTACTTGAAAAGATTTGGAGTTATTTTTTAATTCAATTTTCCATAACAAGTGAAAAGGAAACGATGATTGATTTTATGNAAACAAAACTACTATTACTTCATCAACTTGGAATATTGCAAATCATCCCTCTTACATTTTGCCTTTTTCCTTAAATCTACAACCTCAAAAACTTGTTCTAAATAATTAAAATGTAACTAAATACTCAATCAATTTATCGCAAAATTAATTCAATTTTATCTATTATTGATCCATAAGAGAAACAAACAGGTTGGACTAAATTTAATATTTTCAATATATTTTTGATACTAATACAGTAGGAAGGAACAATAGCATTATAATTTTAAAGTAAATCTAATATTTTCGTTATATTATTATCGTTCATTCATAAGTGTGGCTTAGATATTCACGAACCAATAAACTTAAATAAAATCGAGCGAGAGGAAATTACGTGGTAGGACGTCCAATCCTGAAAGGAACTAAAATACAATTAGATTTTAGAAATATAAAGGGTTCTCTCCCTGCTCAATTTATTAGTTTCATTAATTTAATAATTAATAAAAGCATTGGGTTTCTTCTAATTGATCTTGTCAAACATTTTGATCATTAAAGAATCTTAGTGCTTACTCCTTAAGTCAAACAACTTATTTTTCTAATCATTAAATGGTTGTTAAAAACCAGGTCTTGAACCATTATTTTTCTTTATTTTGTACTTTATTTAAAAAAGTTCTAGTTAAATTAAAAAGAAAACTGAATTTTCTTTTAAAAAATAAAAACTATAAATGCCTCTTGTTTCCTTAAAAAATTTACTAAGATTTCAAAACCACCTTTAAAATTCGATCAAACAAGATGTGTCGAAAGATTGAACTCGTATTGAAGATACATGTCAATTATGATTAAACTTGTGCACGTTTTGGCCAAACATAATTGTTTTGAGATGGAAACAGTTGTTTTATTATTAAAAATAAAAATGAATGTGGGTCCCACTCATAAGTTTTCTATATCACCCATGTGCCTCTCACATGCCTGGATGGTGGCCTAAGCTGACTTTTCAAAGGTAGTTTAGTTGGGCAATTTATTTTAAAAAATACTCTGCTTCAAAAATATTAGAGAAAATATTTTCCGAGTGAAAATTTGATTTTTTGAACTTTTATAAAATATTCAATCAATGAGTTTTAACCTTAATTTTCATTCATTACACATTTTTTGTCATAAAAAAGTGAAAAAAGAAGTCCGTTGTAGAAAATTACATTTTTCTTTATTTTAATTCTCAAGATCATCCATATTTTAATAAGCACACTGTTACTCCTCGCAACGAATATTATTAAGTCAATTTAGTAAGATGCTTTCCTCCTCCGTTTTAACAGAGTAATAAAATGATTATTTGAGAGCGTTATCAGGCATGTAGATCTTGTTAAAGAATTATGTTCGAAACAAATTTTTTTGGACTAAAAATTAAGAAAAATATGTATTTATATTACTATTTAAGAAAGTTTTCCAAATTTTTTTAATATGTTTTAAAATAACTAAATATATCCCTTCTTTTGAAATTACGACTTTATTTATAATAGCTTTTACAACATTTCTGATTATGATTCTTAAAACTAGTTCTAAAATAAAAAACAAGAGCATGTTCTAAAAATAATTTAAAACTATAAATGATGAATTTGAAACTCTAAATCAAGTAATCATATTGAATCAACACACTATCATGGATGCTTCATTGGTTCAAAATGGTCAATATAAAGCCTGAGGGAGCTACCTACTTAAAAAATTAAATCCTGTGTGTTTTCTGTGAGCATAAGCGGGCTGAACAGTGTGAATATAAAAAAAAAAAATAAAATTAAACAGTTAACACCAATCCTTTTTAACACTACTTTTTTGCTAATTTTATTGGAGTTACAAACTACTATTTTTGGTCCAAGTAGAGGCCATATTCACTCCATCATAAGGACCACAATCCTAGTGCCCCTAGTAAAACTTTTGAAGGACAAAGATGATATGAGGTTTTAACTCTGTCCACAAATGCTTCCATTTCTGATCTTTGGGATGAGACAGCATATTCCCGTATGCCGGTGCATGTCCTTGAAATACCACCATAAAACAAGTTGAAAAGTTTTTAATTTTCTATTGCCCCAATCCAAAATGGTCAAAAATTGCTAGTCACCCATTTACCCTCTGTCTCTCTTTCAATCTCTCTGGCTCTCAAAACCCCCCAAATGTAAAAGGCTTCAAAAAGCTGCAGAGAGAAGTAGAAGACCCAATTAAAATATTGAGGGGGTTTTCTGGCTGGTTGTGGAGGAGATGTCTGGTGTCAATGCAAACTCTCTGCTGAGCCCCAAGCCTAGAATCAGCAGCAAATGGGCAACTGGGTCCAAACTCTGCTCCAGATTGAGCTTCTCTTCTGGTGGGGTTTCAGCTTCCTCTGCGGCTGTGGCGAACCCTTCGTCAAGATCCTCTGAAGAAAGGGTCTATGAAGTGGTGCTGAAGCAAGCGGCTCTAGTGAGAGAGCCCAAGAGAGAGAGGGAGAGAGAGAAAGCTTTGGATTGGGAAAAACCCGTCCAAAATGAGGGCGTCCCAGATGGGAATCTGTTGGCTGAGGCCTATGCTCGCTGTGGTGAGGTCTGTGCTGAGTACGCCAAAACATTTTACTTGGGTATACACACTCTCTCTCTCTCTCTGCTACTGTTTCATTTCTGAGTGAAATGCTTTTGGTTCAGTTTGATCAAGTCTATTTGGTTTCTGCCATCAAGTTTTGATAATTCCATGACAATTTTTTAGTGTTGTTGTCTTGGGGATATAAACTGTTGGGTTGCCAAGAAAATTGAACAGAGAATGACAATTTTGGAATGTTTTCTGTTATTGTGATGTCTTTCGCTGTGGCTGGAATTGGGTTCAAACAATTTGACCCTTTACTCCCCTTGTTAGTTCTAGATTGTTATAAAGAGGCTAAGTTTTGTTATCATCAGAGATTCTTTTGGAAAACCATTCACATTTCTCAACTTTTCAAATCTGCAAAAATGGGGAGAATAGAACACCAGTTAGATTTTAACATCCCAATTATAATTGTTTGATTGAGCCTTTCGTTGCTATTCTCAGGGACACAGCTTATGACACCGGAGCGACAAAGAGCAGTGTGGGCAATTTACGGTATTGGTTGCCCTCTTTCTCCATCATGTTATCTTTTTGTCTACTGCAATTTTTTCCATTTCTATAGACCAAGTTGCTTGTTGGTTGGACATGGCAGTGGAAAGCCAATGTATTGCTCCAAATTGTAGCCATGCTTTCCTAGTAGTTTCTCTTGATGATTCTGGTTTTGCTTTTTCCTTTAAAAGACACGTAGTATCATAAGTTTTTTCGTAACTTTTGTATCATTTCTTTAAGATTTGTAGTTAAGTTAGGTAACAATATGAAATGACAGTTAATTTGGAGACGATTCTTTATCAATATTCTTCTTATTTAATAATCGTTAGTATCGGGGACCCAATCTTTGCATTAGGTTCATGTCCCACCCCTTACTTATCTTCGTAGTTTTTTCGAGAGTAAGAATTTTTTCAATTTGAGAGCTTTGTTGTTGAACCCTGTGAATTGCATGAAAGCAGGATACTCCAGAGGTCTCGAAGGGGCATGGAAACACATAAAAACTCTGGAATGAAATTATCTCTTTATTTAGTCCGACTTAGTGAGATGACAGAATCCATAAAATATCTTTCAAATATAACATAGATTCTTGCAATGCAATATAGTTGGACTCTCTTGTGGATCCGAATGAAACATCCACAAAGGTTTGTCGTATAGAAATTTGATTCAATACATCTAGTTGACTCTCTGGAGGAGAGTATCTCCAAACATATTGAGCTTCCGATCACTACATTTCCAATCCTGTTACTTTTTATTTGTTTTTCGATCATAATTTACCATCCCAGGGCCTGATATTTGCTGTGCTATCCTTTTTTATAATGCTATTGATATGTCCTTTGTCATCCACTATTCTGAACATTCTTTTTGATGTTGTCTTCATTTTTTGAACTTTCAAGAGTGTAACTCTCTGTAATGCAGTGTGGTGCCGAAGGACTGATGAGCTTGTGGACGGACCAAATGCTTCGCACATCACCCCCAAGGCTCTCGAGAGATGGGAAAAGAGACTAACGGATCTTTTCGAGGGTCGACCGTATGATATGTATGATGCTGCTCTTTCTGATACTGTCTCAAAATATCCTGTCGACATTCAGGTAAACTCACTTGGTTTAGAAGTTAAAATTGTACAATGTTTCCTTTCCTTGCTCTGCATTCCTTCCTCTGTGATATGTGAACTTTAGGCTGCCATGACTGAGATCTTGTGAAACTTAACAAAAAATAAAATCCCAATGAACAAATTATGACGTTTTTTTTACAGTACAATAACAACAAAAATAAATTATCACAATTTAGAGGATGTTTTTGCCTTCGTTTTGTCAGTCGTTAAATGAGTTCTAGCTCTTCTTTGCTATAGTTTGGATTGGCAGTTACCGACGTTCGAACTAATCAAAAGCATTTGAATTAAAACTAGCCACAACGATTTAACTACTATCGCTTCGAGTTCAGGAGGTCTAAATTCCTTTATCATCTAGCTACATCTGCGTATGTTTTGTTCCACTTAGCATGAAATGATACATTATGTCTCGACAGCCCTTCAAGGACATGATCGAAGGAATGAGGTTGGACTTGCGAAAATCAAGATACGAGAACTTCGATGAGCTTTACCTCTATTGCTACTATGTTGCTGGGACTGTAGGGCTCATGAGTGTTCCTGTCATGGGATTAGCACCCGAGTCGAAAGCTTCAGTAGAGAGCGTCTACAATGCAGCATTGGCTCTCGGACTTGCCAATCAACTCACTAACATTCTCAGAGACGTAGGAGAAGAGTAAGCTTCCTTCCATTATCTTTCTAGAACGATCGAAATTGTTTTGCTTCCAAGCGGAATTGCCTCACGTTTTGTTTCCCACAGTGCTAGGAGGGGAAGAGTGTACCTCCCACAAGACGAGTTGGCACAGGCGGGGCTGTGCGACGACGACATATTCCGAGGGAAAGTGACCGAGAAGTGGCGGAGTTTCATGAAAGGACAGATAAAAAGAGCAAGGAGGTTGTTTGATGAGGCTGAGGAGGGGATTGGAGAGCTGAATGCAGCCAGTAGATGGCCAGTGTGGGCATCTCTAATGCTTTATAAGCAAATATTGGATTCAATTGAAGCAAATGACTATGACAACTTCACCAAAAGGGCTTATGTAGGCAAAGCAAAGAAACTACTATCACTTCCCATAGCCTTTGGAAGAGCTGTGGTGGGGCCCTCAACAAGATAGATTTTTTCTTTTTAATTTCTTTTTTCTTTTCTGTGATTATTCAATGTGTTTAGCTAATTGTAAATTTTAGATGTTAGATGTGGTTTGAAGCAAATTGACTTCACAAAAGAAAAGCCTTGAATTGGTACAAATTATGGAATGAAAAATTCTTAAATTTGTATGGTCAATTTCCTAAACTTAAAAAAAAAACAGAAATCACTTCCCTCTATTCTATTGATTGGGAGTGAAAATTATTTTGTTATTGTCAAAATCACTTCCCTTTCCATTTATAATGTTCGGTAATTAAAAAATTGATTTTAGGAAAGTTTGAAATCACTTTACGATGTGTCTAGGAGTGATGGTAGAATTAACGATTTTGATAAAAGAGATTCAAGTATACTTGATTTTTTAAAATCATCATCCAAGTATATTCTAAAAATCAATTAAAAAAATCTTTGACATGGTAGTATTTCCAGTGACTTATATTTTGATTGGAGGATGCTGTATTTTCGGGATTGGATTACTATAGGATCTCCCTTTCAAAATCGGACGTGAAAATTTCTTTTCATCCGGCTAAAGTAGTTACATTGAGTTCCCACTTTACTCAAGTTCTCAATTAAGACCAAACAACATTTCATTTATTCTTTTTCTTTTTTATTTTAATTTTCTGAGTTCTTTAATATATCAATTACAACATAAAAAAAAAAGTTGACATTTTTTAGTATTCTATTTCCTCAAAATGACGAATCCCTTTAATTAAAAGGAGTAGAATTTAAATAACCTCTTTTAAACAAAAAAAAAAAAAGTGACCTTTTTTTTTTCTTGTCTCATCCACAAACTATATTGCTTTTCTTTTTTTTTATTATAATTAATTGATTTTTATCCGGGAATATGTTAACTTGAAACTCAATTAGTTAAAACATATATCTTCCACCAAAATGTTAGAAGTTCGAATATCCGACCTAACATGTTGAATTCAATAAAAGAAAGAATTTAGATTTGAAGGAGAGGAGTACACGCCTTCAACGTTGAGTTATGTTGATATTCACAAATATAAATGTATTAAAAATTTGGAAAGAACACCCAAGAGTTCAAATCTCCATGCACTTTAATTATTAAAAGAAAGACCTATTATATGATTTTAGTACGATGTTTTTTTTATTCATTTCACCGTGTCAAATTTTATATAAATCAATACAAAAAGAGAAGTAGAAAAGGACAATTTAATTGAAAGAAAAAAAAAAGAAACACTATCATCATATTTATTATCCTAAGTCGTGAAAAAAAGGACCTAATTTTCATAGAGAGAGACTCTATTTGCATTTATTTATACCATAATTGAAATGACAAAATAGATAATAGTCAACAATATATGCATTTGGGTAAATCCACTTTAGAAATATTTATTTTGTTTTATTATTATTTTAAGGATAGAAATATTAATTTGGAAGCTCTTGGATTTGTCTTTTTTAGCCTATATTCTTAACAAGCTTTTTGTTAAGATTTTCTTTTTTACTTTTTTTTTTTTCCTTTTCTGTTCAATCATCGTTCCTTAGGAAAAAAAACATGAAAAGAAAATAATTTTTATTTATTTTCCTAAATACACAACCGAAAGAGAGTAACATTTTTATTTTGTTTAATAATTCCACTAGGAAGGGTTTCATGAATCACGGATAATGTATTTTTTTTTTAAGAAAAAAATTATTGAGTTGATAACATCATTTTCTAAAACACTTGTATGCTGCTGTTTTTTAAAACGGATTGTTTGAAAATTACTTTTTGTTGGAATAAATATATTTTTCCGTCTACTAAAAGTCATTTCAAACTTACCGTTTAATATGTAAATTTGTCTATTCCAATTCACAAGTTACATAAATTAAGACTTTTGAAACATGTCAATATAATATAATTCAACGATAATTATCATGTATTTTTTTCCTAAAAAAAAAGACTTTTGAAACATGAAACCTGTTGCTCTATAAAATTGAACCAAAAAGTTTAAATAAGAAAAAACAGGAAGAGAAACTCGGGCTAAAAAATTATTGAATGAGACTATTACAACGTGCCTACCCTCAAATGGTATAAAATTACCAATTTTATTATGGCGGTCTCTCCCAATAATTTCTCGTAATATTCGCATGGATCACATCAAGAACAAGATATGTATTAAATTTACTATTTTCCATATTTCCAAAAAGAATAAAGAAAAGAAATTGCTATTTAATCCACTAGGAAAGCGCACAATTTCCTTTTCCCCATAAGCTAACAAGTTAAGAATTATTTTACAGGCCAAAAACAGAAAGGATAGGTTGAGAAAGCAAGATGGGAATTCTTGTCCTATTATACAGAAAAAGCCACAGCACATCTCTACATTCCTGTAAATATCCTTCCAAGGAAAATTCTATGGCACATTTCAACTGTATGTTACCTACAAAAATGTAGCACAACTCTGGCTTCTATTTTCTTCTAACTTTGTGATTTACACCCACTTTTGGTGAGGATGAAGATGAGGAGGAAGATGAAAAACCTGATCGGTTATTCTCTGCCATGTCCTTGCAGAATGCCTTCTGAACATCATCTTTAAGTTCCATGAACCGGGTCTTCTTCTTTCGCTGCTCTTCTGGGGTGCCCTTTTCGAGGAACAGAAGGTCAGGCATGTCGTCTGTCAAGAAGTTGTCGAGAACTTCGGAGCAATGAGGGAAAAAACGTCGACCCGTCCCCACTGCAGTCAGTTGTGAAATGAGTTCATCAGACACTCTCAATTTGATAGAAACAAACTACATTATTACGAGATATCAGAAGTTTGCACATCAACAAGACCTATACTCTATATTCCCGATGTTATCGAGAGATAGAAGATAGAGTCTGGCCCTATTATATTCGGTTCGGTTGCCAAGGAAGTATATTAAATCTGAGGTAGTTAGCTGCTATGGTTTAAACTCATTCCCTTTTAAACCATTTACTAATTACATGAGTTGTTATTGACCACAGGCTAATCCATGATGATTTCTTATCAAGGTTTAGTACTAAGCATGCTTAATGATTATTTGAGAAAATTATGAACGGAAAAATAGAGCACATACATGGAAATACTGTTTATAAACTTAACTTTTGAAAACATAAATCAAAATCAAAATGGTTATCAAATGAGACCAAAGTTATATAGGATAATCTAACGGCTAGAACAATGCATGTAGATCAAAACCTTCATTCAAGCCAACTCATGAACATCCTTGATAGTAATAACAGCCATTTGAATGCCATCGCAGATTAACTTGAGATTTTATAAACATGATTAGCATTTTAAAAATGATTCAAATTACTGTTGAGTGATTAACATGATGTAAGATTTATAGGTAAAGCATTAGGAAGGTAGCGGAATTAGTTAAAATCGGTTGAGGCACGTGAATCTCAAGTTTTTAATTTTTTACAACACCAAATAATGTTGTGCCATTCAACAAAAATTAGGGATAGATGAGTTTGAAATTGGTCGACTTGATAACAGAATTCAATTTAACCCTCAAGGAACAGCCCTGATGATAAGGGCTAGGTAGGCAAAGCTATCTTGGGTAGGCAAAGCCTCCTTAAGAGGTAGGGTGTGCCATGAGCATAAAACAAAGATTTAAATACCCCAATTATATAGTAAAAAATCACATTTTAATTCATATCTCAATTCATGTTAGTAAAATCCCTTCTTCCATATCAAACGTCAGAAAATACTATGATATTAAACTTGTTTCTCTTTTCCCCTCTAGCAAAGAGAATTAAGAGTGTTTTGAAAGTACCTGTTTTAAGTAGAGCTTGCATTCTTGATTGGAGTCTTTTGGTTCCTACAGATGGTGTTTCATTCAAGTCGACCTTCAGCAAGTTGCCTGATGATCCCTTGGCTGATTCACGGCCAGTATATGCTATTGTTGAATCCGCATCCGCAATTTCCATAGCAACCTTGGCCTCGGCAGGGAAAAAAAGACGAGCGAAGGCCACTGAAACAAATGAACGGAATGTTGAGTTCTTGATTTGAGTGTCAAAGATTAAAAATATAATTAGCTTTACAACATTAGGGGAAGAGAAATCAAGGCACCAATTTCAAGATTAATTCTTCCATAATCTTGTATTTTTCTTGTCATTAGAGCCGATCCAAGGCATCATTTTCTAGATTATGATAAATCAAAATTCACCAAAGGTCCAAAGCAAATCCACTTCCATGAGAGAAAAACTAAAATTTTGATAGTGCATGGATCAAAGTTTGTTAGATCAAGTCATTGCTTTGATGGAGAGAATTTTGTTTGAAGTAGCCTATTTCTCCTCTGAACCTTTTCCTCAAGCTGATCTTCAATGTAATAGCTCAAAATACATTTGGCTCAACTTAAATCATAAATTATACAACTCAATTAGACTTTACTGCCATGAATCCTAATAACTCAAAATTTTTTGTTAATGAAGTTTATCAATCATACAAAAATTGACATTAAACTCATGGAATACAATTGTTTTTACTGAGTAATCAAAACAGCAGAATCGCAGTAGTTTAACATAATACAATGTCATTATATTATCAATATGACATCAATCTGGAAAAGTGTCAATTAGTCTATTAACTAACACAATAAAGTTTGAATCAACGTATTAACTTTATAAGTTTCCAGCCCTTACGGCATACATACTAATTTGCACCAGCATACATACTAACAATCAGCCCAATAAAATCTCCATGATAGGTAATGGAAGTTTGAGAAGACAAGTTCAAATGATGTGAGGGACTAGATTTCTGACATGGAGCTTTCTTACTGACACTAACTGTGTGTGAGTATGAACAAACTGTTATTCATTTTAATACATGCTCTCCACACCAAAGCAGACTCTTCCTCGTATTCCTTTGTCCAAGAAGTTTAGCATAATTTCTCCACTATTTTCTAGTGCTTATTAACCTTGTAACATCTTAGCAAGCAAATAAATAAGAAAATTTATAAGCTAGAAGTTTCAAGGGGCATGTGCATCATTGCTAGTAAGGTTAAATACATTTTCAGAGTTTCCTTCTTAGAATCCTAATGGAAAGAAAACTTCAATTGGCTATCTGATGGGAAGCAAAAATGTATATATAATGAGAGAATATCACCTCTGTTTTCTAGATAGTCTAGCATCACGTGCATATCAGCAGGGGAAACCTGAGTTGTCATTTCAATGCTACCAGAAATCGAATTCCTTCGCATCTCTCTCTCCAACACATCAATGCATAACCGATCTTTATTCGATTCCTGTCCCTGGTGAGTCGTCTCATTATAATCCTTAGGCCTAGTCAGCCTCCGACAGATTGCAACAGCAGTTTGTCCATCTTTTGTAGGTTCTAGTGCAGAGGTTCCCTTGTCCAAAAGGGCCACAATGATTTTAGGATCCTTACGCCTTGCTGCGACATGAAGAACCGTTTGTCCCCGATGGTTTTTAAGATTGAGATCTGCCAAGCCTAGATTGAGAACCTCCTTAATGACCTTAGGATCACAATAGCCAGTTGCATAGTGAAGAGCATAAGCATCATCCAAGGTAATATCAGATGATTCGCTTAAAAGAAGTTTCAGTAGTTCAACATCATCAGAATCCAATGCTTTGTGGAGCCTCCTGATTCTCTTCTCGCGATTCAGATCCACTTCTTCCACAATATTTGGTTCAGTCTCTTGCTGAGATTTCATACGCAGTGATTTAATCTCACTTGCAACTTCGCCAGGAAGCTCTCTTTCTATAGACACGGCGTCAAGATCCGACCTTACGACTCTTTGGATGCAGGGGAAGAGTAGCTGGTCCAGATGAAAATGGGATGCAGCAATCAGTATATTCATCACATCTTCCACAAACGCCTTTTCAACAAAATTCAAGAGTCGACGCTGCACAAGTTAGTGAGAGAGAGTTAGATTATAAAACAAATCACGACCAGAAGCACCCAATGAGTTGATTTTGTTTGGCCAAAACAGTATAGGCATTCAACTAAGTGAACTAAATTATGCAGATTAAGCTATCTATTAAGCCGCCTAAGTCAAGCCCATATAAGATAGCCTTAGCCAGTAACCCATGCACAGTCAATTCATACAGAGCAACCATTTACTAGCAGAGCTAATGATCTCGTTCTTAGAAACAGCAATAAGTTCAATTATGCTAAATGCTATCATTCGATTTCACTTTCTTTTTTAATTGATTTCGCCATAAAAGTCTCCATCTGTAAACATATGTTAGAGGAAGTTAGTTACAGTATCGGGCTCAAACGACATATTGATAACAAGGACTATGGAAATTTAATGAATAAAACAATTGATCCAAGTAAGCATTCCACAAAAGAAACCGACCACAAAGCAATATGAATAAGAAATCTAATGAATCTGGGAAAATGTTCAACTAAGTCCTACCTGTACAAGCAAAACCAGCTCTTTCATCTTGAAAGTGGCTGAAGCATACATCAACTCCACAGCATAGTTAATAGCAGGGCCACAAGCATCATGGGCACAGGCCTCGTCCACACAAGTTGACACTTCTGGTGGTGATGGCTTCAGCTTTCCCGTGTACAAATAAGTCAAAATAACCTTGAAAGCTTCAATTCCAACCTTGCCGAAAGGTACCAACTGAGACATACAATACTTTGGCTTCCCATCCTTGGTGGAGCCATCCATTTCCTGCTTAAACAGCTCATGAAAAAACTGGCTCCTAGCAGCCAATAGACAGCGATGAACACCCACCTCCGTGCCCTCAACAACAACGACGGCATCGGTGTAGTCATAGTCAGAATCAACCACTAGCTTCTCCAGGTTTGCACTTAGCTTGCTAAGGCTCATATGGTCAGAATTTGCAGAAGGGTCGTTGCATAATGTGGCAGAAACGTTGGTATAACTGGACCCATTTGACACATAAGATGAGGCGAAACTTGGGGACGAGGAGGGATCACTGGCATTGTCCATGGCTTAAAATACGCTTTTCCACTAATCTAACTCAATAAAGAAGCTCAACAGTAATACAGATTGAGCAAAATTTACCAGCCCCAGTTCCTTAAATCAAAAGGAATCTAAAAACACCAAAGACCGGATTTGGAACGACAACGGATTGAACCAAATATGGAAACAAATACAGTTATTACCTAATCGAATCCGTGGCAATTATGTCGTCAATAATCAGACAAACATAGACAACCGAAACTCCACAGCCAGAAATGGAATCAAACTACTACTGCTTACAAAGAACTTCAGACCCAAAACTTACTCGAACGAAAAAACATCGCAAAAGATCAATCCAAAAACAGAGCAAAAACAATAAGGGCAAGGCAAGTTCTGGCAAGAGGGGGAGGGTCAGGATTGCTTACAAAGACACCCTTTTGACCGAAATTAATAATCACAGAAGCTAGAGTTTATGATCTGAATCACAGGCAGGATTCAGGAAGAACAGCTAGAAGAGGACTGACCGTGTTGACCCAGGAAAAATTCGGAGAAAGAATCGACAAAAAAGAAGAGATAAATCACAGAAATCGAACATAACTGCAAAGAAAAAATCAATAAATTTACAGGAAGTTCACGAATCAGCACATGTAATCAAAAGGGTTTGAAGAAGGAGGGAAAATTCTTATGGGCACAGCACAGATTTCTCAGAGATGCAGAGAGAAAGAGGAGGAAGAAAGAAGAAGAGAAGAAGCACAGTTGACCCAACAAAAGAAATGGAAGACCCATTAACAGTTAATTACACGTTGTGGAAATTAATTACTCCATAATCCTATAATTAAGTTAAGTACTTTTCTTTAACCAAATTTAAATCAATAAATGTTTATATAACTTCTTATTATTATTAAATTATTAATTAATAACGTAATTTTTGTATTATTATTGATAATGTGATTGGTTTTTCTCAAGAAAAAGATAATGTGATTGGTGGTGCATGGGTTTGATTCTCAAATTTCCAACTTGACTCATGTTAATTCAAAATGACGATATTGTCCCTATATATATATAATTTTTTTTATTTAAATCTATTTCCACTTCTTTTAATTTATTTTGATTTTTTTAAAAGTTGTCCCCACCAACCATCATTTTCTCTCTTTTACATCTAGGTATTTATTATTTTAAGGAAAATATTGTTAAATAAAGTAATGAAATTATTAATTAGAGTGGTTTATGTCACGTACGTCGTGGTCTCATGAGCATATATTAGTTTTTTTTTAATTCAATTTAGTTCAATTTTTAGTTTGATTATTTTATAAATCATTAGTCTTGATTATTAAAGCGCTTTTTAAGTATCTTTGACTCATTAATTATTAAAAATTGTTTTTGACTCATTGACTTCATTCTTAATCTATTTTTATAGGTTAACATAAATATAACTTAATTAACTAAGACGTCTGGATATCCACTCACTTCTTTCTTTGTTTGAAAATAAAATCTCTCAGGATACATATTTTATATTTTAAAATATAAGTCGAAAATTTTGTTAAACAAATAAGAAACCGAAACTTCGGCCTAATGACTTACCTATTTGAGTTTCAATTTAATTTTCTACTTCATTTATTAGTTTTTATTATGATTTAACTAGATGATCAAATGAGATGATAATTAGTTAAGGTTTAGACCTCATCTTCATCGACACTCTTTTAGTGTTTTTTTTTGTTATATTTTAAAAATACCTATTTTGATATATAAACTTTTAAAAAACTATCCTTTTGATTTCTGTTATTAATATGTCATCTATTAAGTAATAGATCAGCGATGGAATGAGATTAGAATCTGATTGAGAAGAGAAGGAGAATAAGTGCTTTCCAAACTAACATTGGCGACGACACTAACAATCTATTATTTCATTTATGGGAAAAAAATATATTGACAAAATAGTCATTTTTAAATTTTAGAAACAAAGGTAAAAAATATCATGACTAAAATGAAAATAAAAAATTAAACGCAAATGTGAAAAATACGTGTTTTGAATTACATTGACCAAAATGAAAATAAAAAAAAAAATTATTGTGAGATTTGCCCCATTTCATAAATCTTCATAATTCTCTTTATTTATTTTTTTCTTATATTTTCCATTAATCTCCACCATCATCCTTTCTTACCATAAATTCAATGACCAAGATTCATCCTCGAAACTCTATTTAAAGTCACAAAGTTCATCCTTCCCTACACCAATTATCAAAGTAAACATCTTTCCCTCTTCAAATTATTTTGCTCTCAAATTTTCATATTCTCCACATAAAAAGTTGTCCATATTTTTTTGTGAGATATACATCGTGGCTTTTTAGTCATTGCTTTAGTGTGAAATTTGTAAATCTATTTTGGTAAGTTATTTCTTGTATTGCTTATTTTTAAATGCAATTTGGGTTTTTGTATTAAGGTGTGGATTCATCTTGGGTTGTGAGAAAATTGGATATCCCGAACCAGTAAAAAAAAAAAAAGGGTTTCTCTTTAGAACAAAAAGAGGGTCGATCAGTTTGGTTCTCACACCTGCAAGAGAGTCGTTGCAGGGGAATGGAGTAAAGATTTCCGAACCACAATAAAAATTCACTCGTTTTAATTTATGCATTTTAATTTCATTTGATTTTTTTATTATTAATTTTATTGCTGAAACCAAAAAGTCGATATGCAACCTTATTCACCCCCTGTCACCATAGGATCCTACATAAAGAGATTAAAATTGTACACCGGTGTGGTGCTACGTCCAATACCCTCTAATGTCTAAATTAACAAAGAGTTTTGTTGAGAGTAGCAGAAGTAGAATTCTTAGAGCGTACCTCACACGCCACTCTCTCCTGCCTCTCATTTATAGAGGGAGTCTTATTGGGTTGGTTCGGTTAGATTGACTGGACTGAATTCAGTTGATTCGGATATGGTTTAATTTGGTGGTTTGACTCATGTTGCTTCCTTTGTCTTCAACTTATACAAACCTTGTAGGGTAATTTCACTCATAATATAATATATTATGTATAATCGCATAAATGTTTGAATAAAAATTTGTTTCATTTTGCACTATACTTTCCAAATGTGTCTATTTCAGTCTTTTATTTTTTCTTAAGAAAAGAGTTACTATTTTAATCCTTAACCTTTACTTTAATTTTAACAAATTAATAAAATTGTTTCGAATATGTACATTAATATATTAACATGAGCATGTATTCAAAATACATATGTTATTGAGAGCGCGAGTATATTGGATAAATAAATTTTTTGTGGCAAAATAATGTAACAAGACCCAAAATTATTACTTTTTTTTTCTTTTAGTTTAAGAGACTATATACATCATAAAAATCGTGCGACTAAAACAGTTTTTTTTTCCTTTGCAAAAAAAAAAACAGATTTTTTTAGTGCAAAGATTAACATACACATTTAAAAATTTTGATTTAAAAATTGAAATAAAATAAACCTAAAATTTTGGTGGGACATTAGGATTTAAAAAAACAGCTTAGGGAGACCATTTTTTTTTTACAACAAATGTAACTGGGAGAATTAGATTTTCGAAATTGAGGAAGTAAATGAGTAGTTTATCTATTAAACTATGTCCGAATTGACATTTAGTCATTTTTATTTAAATTGCGTTCAAATGATAGTGAAGCTTTTTAATAAAAAAGAATTCATGAGAGAGTGGTCGTGGTCGGAGGCTAAAAAAACCTATATACTTAGAGTAGCTAGTACAAAAAGATTTTCATACTACCTTCATATATTTAAAAATGACGTTAAAATAAAATAATATATCACTTAATAATATATCAAATTGTGAATCAAATGAATAACTAATATCGTCGTATTATAAATATCTTTATCAGGAGTTGGCCCTATTTCACTCGATTATGGCAAGTCCGATGGCCACCTATACTATAATACTATCGTGTTTGAAACTTTGAACATGACTTTCTTATAAGCTATTATAGTTTAAATACAATTTTCCTTTACAATTATCATATAATCCTGTAATAGCATATTTATTTTCATTATTAATAATATAAAATATGATAAATTTATTTTTATTTTAAAATTTCTATTTTGTTTTTTATATGTTTAATTTAAACCTACTCTTAATAATAAGTGGATAAGACGCATTAAAAATTCATTAAAATTGATTAAAAAAAACTCAATGATGCAATGTTAAATTACATAATTAACATGCATGATAAACCTAATGAATTGCAATAACTCGTGTAAAAAATAAAAAATAAAAGTTAGAAATCTTATTTTACCCTCTAAACTTTCAAAATATTTGTAAATCTTTAAACTTGTAATTACATATTCCCGTCCCTACCATTAATTAATGAATTAATAAATTGGTGAAGTGGCTTCAATGTTGAGAGGACGAGCTAAACTAAGTGATTAGGTTAATGACTTGAAAAATGAATGAACCTTCTGGTGAGTTTTCGACTCCAATGTGATAAAGACAAAAGAAGATAAAAGGAAGATCGGATTGATTTAACGCGAGAGGACTCTAAATAGGAGGTCCATGTCGAATTCAAGAATCCAAGACGATTTGAATCTGACTAAAAATCTTGACTCACCTGTTTATTTGGCAACACATCAACAGTTAGATGGATACTTATTTATCTTAAGATAAGAGTCATTTCACCATTTTGTTAAGTCAATGGAGTATTAATGACAAAATCTAAAATGAACTTTTAAAATTTTGGACCAAAATAAGATTTAAACCCATTAAAAATTATTACACCCATATATATTATAGTATAGTTTAAATAACAAATGAGAGAATTCTTCCAAAACTCTAAAATCTTTTATTAAGATTTTAAAGTATGTGCCAAGTACAAGTGATTGACAACTAAGTAT